GTCTGGGTGTGCAAGTATGTTTGTCCCCCTAACACTGAAAAGTCATAACGGGTCATGATCCACTGATGCCAAGAGATCATGTCTAATCAACGCTTGAGGCATTGGATGACGCTGCAGTGAGATTCGTGAGCCACACTTCAAGTGATTGCAATAAGATACCAATGGATTATGTCCAATGGGTATACGCGTCATTGTTGTCCAGATTCGCATCGATTTTGTGTGTCTGTAGCAGATTATTTATATTACATCTCTGTGTTACTGGCACAGAAGAAGCAGAAGAACTTCTACCACTCAGATATTGCTTAATCAAAATGATCATTACGACCATTTAACCGGAACGGGATAAGATATGTCTATCAGACGAACTGCGACTGAAATAATGTAACGAGGGCAGTCGAAATGATACCGGGGTCAATGCGGACCCCGCTCTATTTGTACCGCGTTAATTAAACAGTACTCACGGATGAAGAATGCGCAAGTGTGAGTGACAGTTATTGGTCATTGAGAAGCTCCTAATTAACATATGAGTCACATTTTTCAATTCACTGAGAGTATGCGAAGCTGAAAAAAGCGGTTCACCGGAGATAGGGACTAGAACGGTCATATCTTGAGTTTGCGGAAGAGACCTATCAGGTAAACTTTCCCTTGAAGAAGTCCATTTCCCTGCAAGATGAAATACGCTGGATTCGTCCAGTTAAAAATATTTTGCGTCTTGGAGATCAAAACAGGAGGAAAACGCCTTTTAACGTCGAGATACGCAGAATCAACTTCATGAAAAGGCTGACCATAGGATTTTGCTCATGGTGTGCAGCATGGTCTACGACGGTCATCGTCGAAACGCGGTCAAAAAGGCGGGTACTAATGACGATTTCGAACAATGGATGTGCATTTTCTATAGAAGTTTTGAATCTGCATGTCGGAGAATACTTTTCCAAGTACGCTAACCGGTTCGCCAAAAGGATTCAGCATTATTAAGGCAAGTCCAAGTACGCGTGCCTAATATGTTAGTGGCACAACAGGTCTCCCAATTTCATGTGTCAATATACTCGACGCATTACAGAGAAGTGGGGGTGCGCGCAATAAGCATTCTAAACGTAATATGAATAAAACCGCACGGTGAACAACGGATCAGGAAGCCTTAACATGAACTCCATGAACCCGAATACTATAAGCAGCCCGAGCAACTTAGTTTAGGCCCATCGTGAGAATGAGAATATTCTTTTGATGCCAAGCGTTGTTCTGTTTGAAATTCGGTTATCATGATCAAACAGTAAGGGGCCGAAACAGCAGGTTAGCAGAACGGATTACCAAACAAATGATCTCTAAATCGCAGCGTCATCTGGGCGAGCTCGATGGCTCACAAAGAGCGGACAGAAAGGGTCACAACTGAAACAAGTTCATGTTGCAGCTGGTACACTGATGAAAGTGCGAATACGATGTAACCGCGATTCGCTTCCCTTGTCTCGGTCTGTCCGTCACAAAGTTGAGTATACAACCCATTTGATCGACGGATCCCGTGGATGAACTTCGAGACTCGTCTTCAGTCACAATGTACACATTATCCTTCAGTACAGTTTATCGATCAATCTTGTCAGGATTCAGTTTCCTATTCAAGACCGAGGTCAATCACCATCGCGTTAGCTCGATCTCGTGCGAACTTCATTCGACTAACAACCAAGGATATAACGTTACCCGGAGGACGAACGGTCAGACGCCACTTCAGTAAAACCTTCATTTCTAACTGAGTAAAACTCCAGTACTGACCGACAAATGGCATTGAACAGTAGTTTATTTATTGAATATACAAATGTACAGTCAACTTTCAGGAAGGGGGCTGCGGCCATACAAGGGCTGCCTGGGGAAAATACAGATATACAAGGAAGACGGGTGGCGGTGGGGCGGTTTGAAACTGGGACAACCAGGTCACTAGTTGGTGACTTAACCACTTGGCCACCACCACCGCGTAACGTACGGAGGCCACAGCACAAATCAAGTTAGTGTACCTGTAGGTCGCGATTTGTGTATTCACTTGAACTTACAACTTCACTTAAAGCAGAAAAGATATGGCGTGATTGGTAACATTTTTAAAAAGTTGATAAAAATAACGTACAACAATGAGAACAATTCAATTTTTCACCACATTCTACTCATTATTCACATTTTTAATCAGACACTGCTCACAAATAATGTGACTTACTTCGATATTTCCACCACGTCACGCATAAAGTCAGTCTGTCCGAATTCCGGATACATGAACAGTACGGACCAGTGCAGTAATCCAGAGTCGTCTTTATAGAATTGCATTCCAGCCGCATCAGGAACATCCACCGGGGGAAGTTTGAAGTTGATGCGTATACCGTGTGCCTAATCAATCACACACAACGATATCGATCAAATCGTAGATCAATAAAAATTATCCGTAAATTCGAAGTTTAAGTTAACAATACTTGAGAAAGAAACATATTAACTCCCCTAGTGTGAAATAAAGGTACCAGCGTTTTGAAAGTTTAAATAAACACTTTTGAAGAGCTGATAAATAAAACAACATACTAGCAACATTATACTATACAATTATTAATCCATGGGCATTAGAGTCATTTCCGGAAATGTGGGCTGACCGGAGTCATTCTACTATTTACCTTTGGATAGAGGCACAGTGACAATCTGTTTACATGAGCGTGGCAAACGTCTGTATCAAGGATCGAGTGAACGGACGGGTAAACAGAAACGTAAGTCTGCTCTTCAACTGCATCAGTATCAGCTGGTGTACTCTATCAGGTCTATATGAGCGGTGAACTGTCACCGATGAATCCCTATCAGGAACTCCGCTGTGGCAATAGCAATAATCCACTAAAGGGTGGAGGCGGCACTTTTATCTGTTCTCAGAACCCGTTTCAAAGGGCACGGAAACCGGTCCTCGCGAAATTTGATGAGATCACGAAAAATAGGGTTCTGTTCACGTTTATCTTCTTTTATGCAAGTACGACAGACTTTTCCGTTTCGGAAGAATAGAAACATTTTCGAAAATGAGATCTCGAACGAATTTTTCATACCATGGAAGAATAATTTAAGTCTGTTTTCAGAGAACGTGGTAGCTGCGGGGCTGAATATTATGCCATATACTATACAAACCACAATGGCAATCTATCGATCAAATATAACGGAAAAAAGATCGCATGGAGAACTGTCAATTACTCAACTCGGCACGTACACTATCTGCTCAGAAAGCGAGTTTTATACTTCGAACGTAATCAGAGCAACTCGTGGGATACACTCCTTGAATGCATTCAAGTTAGTGGTATCTACGGCGAAATATCGCGAAACCTCATCGTATAAGTACAGAAAACAGATAGTGTCAGCATGCAACTTGTCAAATCGGACAGTTTACTACTCCAACGCAATAAAGAATGGCAAAGATTTGAGTCGTAATAACACCAAAAGATCGATATTTTGTTCAAGCGAAATAATTTGTAAAGCGTTAAACTTGTATCCTTTTTTCTTAATGAACGTATACCCGATGCTGAAAAAGAGCTCCAATATACACGTTTTACTTTGAATGGAATTTTTTTGTTTTCGCCTTTTCATTGAAACCATGCGTGCTAAATCCAGACAGAACAAGATCTAACCATTCGGATGATGGGCGGAGTAAGGCCGGGCAAAACGCAGATCAAACTTGGTATGGCACATATCATGTGCGATCGACACTGATTCACATAAGCGCTACAGGTCATCCATAGATCGATCTAGTTACCTGACCGAAGGACCAGCTCCGTTTTATCACTACTATCACCAACCCATTGACCTTTGGACTACATGTTCACGGTTAATACGAGAAACCCCGGTTCACGGAGTGATTCTTTTCTTTTTTCTTTTTCATTTTACTTCCTTTTGATTGAATATACAAAGATACAATTTTCAGGAAGGCGGAAGCGGCCAATCAGAGGGCTGCCACAAATGGGGAAAGTCAGGCGGTGGTGGTGGGATTCGAACACTCGTCCTCCGGGGTGATAATTGGTGACGTTACCACCGGGCCATCACCGCCCGGGAATCTGGAGGTGTGCCTATCAAGTGGTACGAAATTCCGGGAGAGGGCAATTTAAGTGGTATCGGATGAAAAAATGAACATTTTTCGGGGGTAGAAAGCAGTCCGGATCGAGCGATCGAAAGATTCAAATATGTTTATGTAGCACTAAAACATAGAAATTTTATGAGCCATCATGCAGTGGATGAATCACAGTATCCCAGCACTTCCATATGAAAAACGAATCGAACCCCCTACAAGCAGTTTGTCACCGACAAAGTAATGGATCAATCAACTGAATGAGGCTAAGCTTAACTTGCCAATTTAGCCATGATGATCTCGATTCGGGGATAAGCAGATTCACAACTGAAGAAAGAGCTTTCGAATTTTTTATGCATACACTTCGTTAACTACAGCTCACTTGCACCGGTCACCAAGGCGAGCCATGAACGCATCAGTTTTGTAAGATGATGACGGTCGGTAGCTTTCCGTTTGGTAACATACATCAATATCTCTTGGTGCGGCAAATCAGAAGTACTATTAAATTATAACGCAAAATACACTGACAGTTTATCCGGCTGTTGCCATCCCGAATTTTTCCGACATAAAAGTACAATCGTAACTAATGTGTAAATATCTTCCCCGTGCCCTCAGACAGACATCTCTGCTTTGTTCAATTTCAATATCCTGTTTTAGTCCCATCGTCAGATCAAAATTTCCACTGACCTGTTGGTGAAGTCAACCATGCGAGCATTTTCCCTGTGCTTCCGTCCGGCTTGTCTGACCTGCCGCATACTTCTAGTCCCGTGCTGAACACATTGGTCAAAAACCATCTCAACTTCTCTCTCCAACCAGTGGCCACGGGTGCTACCAGTGACCATTGTGTTACTCTTATTAGATCAGAGGTTTAATCCTGCCCAGCACATCAAACATTTACAAACTCTTCGTTCACTGTATCCGTCTATAGGTTCCTCCTCTCCACATCTATCCTCTCGTATTAACATTTCTGAGAATACTCCTCTAACCTATCTGGTCTCACTCCTAAAAACAACAAGGAACAGGCTGTTAATGAACTACCTCAGAAATTCAGTGAATAAACCACCTGTTAGCAACACTTTTGCATGCTGTATGTTTTCTCTATTTGCATCTTTTATTCCGCCTGACGACCAGAATACAATTTTAATTGAGATGTAAACATACAAGCTTAATAGTTCGTACAAATACATTGCAAATGGCACATCTGATAAGCTGGACGAATGCACTGTATATTATAATATATTCCACACGTGTCTGAGTCCAAACGCTGTACGAAATAAATAGGGGGAAAATATTTAAAACAAATCTGGTAATGATTTGCTTGTGGACGAAATTCTATTCCGTTGTTCTGGAAAAAGCAAGGGAATGGTCTCGAGCAATTCATAACCGGAATCTTCGACTAGCCAAAGCCTGATACGCAAAGCAGGGAGTGGAGTGTGAAAACCGAAAGCTATTGAGGGTCGGTGTGTGGGTCACATGTCCAAAGTACCGAATTCACCTCGATGTCTGATCTGGGNNNNGCGGTGACCAGCGCCACAGTCAAAAAGGTGAAAGCGGTTTGTACGCTCCTTCTTGGTTGGTTTGGAATTACGAATTTTAACCCACTCTCTTACGTGAATTGTAAATGAGTCACATCCGTTATAGCCCCAGACTTCAGCTCATCGTCCTCCCACGTTGATGGGGAAACGACAATTCTTCAGTAGATGCTAATTCAGACGCTTGGTTGTACGGAAGAATATCACGAGGTGCAAGCGAAGGTTGACCAAACACACCCTAGGCCACTCATTCCCGATCATACCAAAACTCGCGGGAAGAAAGTGCAATTTTTCTGTCCTGATCAGAAGTCCTAGGAGATTTCAAAACATAACCACCCAAAATGTCACTGTCAAGCATACCTAAAACAGCGGAAACGGATTAAACATTAAGCTACTGATCACACAAGAATAAGTTGAAACCGGAGCAGGAACCGACTGGAAAAATTGACGATAGGCAGGTTATGGTTAGGCTGTCAAGAGCAGTATGCGATTACGAGTAACTAACAACCAGTAAACTGAAACTTCTTAGTTTTCATCTACTTGCCAATTAGGCCAGCATCTTGAAAGAACAGAAACACAAAAGGTAATGTGGAACATAAAATCTACCACAGTAAGATTAAGGAAGACTAGGTGTATTTTTATAATATCTCTACTTACATGGGCCAGCCTGTAAACCTGGACCTGATCTTCAATTTCACGCTGTTGTGTTTCGCGCTTGGAATTCGTGACTCGATCGATTTTCACCTGCTGTTTGAGAGCATCCAACTGAAAACGAATCAATTGTTCCGCATCCGGGAACAGCTCCAAACCGCGCTCGCAAAATTCCAAACAAGCATCGATTTTGGACAGAGCCAGCGAGGCTTGAGCACCTGAGCAATAACGAGAGTTGATCCACTCCCTTGGACCGGAAGTGTACTTACCCTTTGTGTAGGCTTTCATATGCTCTGGATTCAGAGCGATCGCCGCTTTACAGTCCCGAATGCATGATCCATAGTTTTCTAATATATTTATTGAGGAAAATAATGTGTGTGGTTCAAACAACTCCGTTTCGTGGAAAAAACGTACGCAAATGACTGTGACAGATAGCTCGATTTGTGTGTAAAATTGCAGCCAGCTTTTTATCTGTAGGTTTAGCACGTAGTCCACCAGTATACGAATCGATGGCTTTTTTGAATTCTTTTCGTCCGTAATGATAATTTCCCTCGTCTTTATAACTCATAGCATTAGCTGTTTCAATAGAAAACCGATTTAGAATTTGGATGGAATCTCCATACCGTTAGGATCTTCCGACTCGTACTTTAGCGCTTGAAGTCCGGCGAATCCGGGATCGTCATTTGCGGCATCGAAGTCCGTTGCGAACGCGGGATGCGTGTCTAACACCTGGTCCGACTGAATGAGTACCAACGAGTGAATGAACAAACCGATTGTAAATCAAATTCGTCTGCTTTTTTCGACCCAGTACTTGTGGTACTCATTGCAAGCTATATTCGAAAAGTGAACAGCACAGAATTATATAGGTTAAATTATACATAAGAACAAATCAAATATCATCGTAAGGAAGCCATCAGACACAATCAATAAGATTTCACATACTCACCTGTCGCAACGCGGAATAATGCGAATAAAATCACACCTATCACTTTCTAAGTCCAAGCTGCATAAAATCCACTAAAAGTGACCACCTAAACAGAAAGGACATGGTGCGCACATGGAAGTACTGATGCAATTTAAAATGTTAATAATTGAAATTCACCATTTAGATTTTTCCCTCACCTAACAGAACCCAGGAGCATCGTAATCTCCCAAACCAAGGCTAGAACTCTATCCTTAAGAGCCCATAGGAACTGCTCATCCGGGCCGGATGTCTTCTGCACTTTGAGATACCAGGTTGCATTCAATAACTAAAGA